CCAAGTCGTTGATGAATATATTGAACACCTTCCTTGGTGCCTCAGCCCATTCAGGAATCTGTCGTCATCCCTGGGAGCACGTGGGATGAGTGCTACTGGGAATTGTTGTTCCTGCTAGAATTTACACAGCTTTCTGCATCTGTCTCTCTCTGGTTTGTGTCTATGCTTTGTGTAATTTATTTCCCTACCTTAGCTGGGCATTCTTTCACCCTTCAGCTGAGCTCTTATAAACTTAGGCATACATTTTTCTTACTTCTGAGAAGTGACTGGTCTGGTTGAATCATGCTTTGTTGTATTGTATCTTTGGGAAAATTGCAAATGTTACCTTTTCAGAGTCAGATATTTATTAATGTATATTCATGAGACGTGAATGATTGGTCTGTGTGATTAATTAGACAGACTGTAGACAGCTGTTAAAAATGCCAGAGTCTTTTCTTTCCTTACCCCATTGTTAGCAGTAAGGCAGACATTTATCTGGAGGAGAATAGGAACAAATCTTACTTTTGTGATAAGAGGCATTAAACCCAGCTCCAGTGACACTTGCATCTGACAAGAAGTGGATGAACATTGCCTCTCCAGTCGATCTTATTGGCCCCGGAGGTTCTCGTCCACACAGAGTAGCCAGCACTGGAGAAAGACTGGTGTCTCCTGAGACCAAAAGAACGTATGTTAGTGTTAAAACCAAATCAACTCACATCTGCTTGTTGGTTGCTGTGGCTCACACTTTCAGGCAAGTGCTTTTCAAGATATTTAACCCCTTACAGATTGAGAAATATTTTTATAGACCACCAAATATTTTGCTAGACTTTTCTAACTTTATTTTAACTAGCAGAATGTCTCAGCATATAGGAAACATACTGATTTAGAGCATGTTCTCATTGCTATCTAGATTGCTTAAGCTCAATGGACATGAGAATTCCAGGTACTGGGACCTTGGGTATCTATTGCATGCTGTCAGGGTAGGGCAAGATTGGCTTCTCACCATCTTGGATAATAAGTTGGTCATAGCTGCATGAGCTGTGAGATTCTATGTCTAGGGCCAGGATATTGAACTCCACAGTGGATCCAGGAGCTCTGATAAGCCACACACAGTCAGCAAAATTTCTGTAATTCATGGGCCAGCCCGGTGAGAAGAGGAATGAAGGTGTTTCTTCAGTTGTTACAGTCCCTCCACAGGCACCTGTCACACACAAGAAGACAAAAATGAAAGCATCCTATTTTTAAACTGAACAATCCCCTCATATAATTTAAGATGATAGTCCTATAATTAAGCACAGTGGGAGCACAGTGATGATGTGTGTAGTCACAGGAATGCATTTCTTCAAGCATTGCTTCAGTTTGGACTGTGAGTACAAAACCTGAAAATCCTGACCTATAAAGATGTTCCTGTGCTACCTGGTGCAAATATCTAGCAAAAGACCCAAGAGCACCTACAACAGTTTAACACAGCTTGCATATCAGAAAGGAATTGTGCACACAGAACCAACAATACATAAACAATTTAGACCCTCTTGAAACTGAAGTACTTTTCTTTCTCCAGTCCTAATGTTCAGACCAGGATGGAGTCCTTGCTGTGATATCTAGTGGCTCATTGTTCTCCCAGCACATAAACCCATTACATACTGCCACTATCCTGCACAGCACTTAAACCCATTACATACTGCTACTGTCCTGCAGAGCCCCAGGGATCCTTAGTCCCTCTGTCCCCACAAATCTGCCTTCAGATTTAGAAATAAGATGTAGCACTGTGTCCTAGTTAGTCTTAACTTTCTCTTGTTGAACTTGCTCAGAGAAAATCAGTGGTACAAGAAGCATATTCCCTCTCAGTCCAGGAGCTATTTGTCAGAGGTACATGATCACACTGAGGATATTCTCTTTATTTTATGGATATGAGATGCATTATTGTGAAAGGTTTCATATCACAATGGCCAGTGATTTAAGAATGGTATTTCCTGAGGGATAATTTTTCATGAAAGCGTATAAAATGTTTAGCTTTCATGAAATACCTGTGTAAAGAAAAATGCCCCTCAACCAGCATGCTTATTTTTAAAACACTGGAAAACAGTATATCTGAGAGTCTTTAGAAATTGTTTAAAAAAGCTATTAAAATGCTTAATTAAAATGTCGATGAAAGCTTTCCCTCCATTAATAGCTAGGGCTTTCTCTTGTGGGGAAATTGGTTTGGAGTTTTTTAAGTAAAGCTCAGTATATCACTGGCTATATCACTTTTAACCGTGCAACCCACTGAAACCCACCTCTAGCAATGGTTCGTGTAACAGCTGAAGCATCCACTGCATACCACTCCAAAAGAAAGCCTTTTCCAGTCACAGATGAATCTGACTGGAACTGGATTGTCATCGAACTGCCAGAGGATGCAAAAGAAGCAGGATCTGCACCACAGTATGTTGCAATAGGACGAGAATGAATGGTGGGACCATCATAAACCTGCAGAGAGAAGGAGAATGGTGCCATTTCTCATACAGGCAGATTTTCATCTGCCCCATACTCAGCAAGTTTCCAAGGAGAAAATTACCCTCTTTAAAAGAGTGAGGGATCTTTCAGCAAATCCCAGTTACAGAGAAACCTCTCTTACAAAAAAAAAAACCAAACCAAAACAAAACAAAACAAAAAAACCAGAACAAAATCTCCCTTTCCATTATATATTGTTAATTGGGAAGCTTCCACAGAAGAAGGATCTGAATGGAAGCCACCAAATTCAGCTCATTCCCTATCATAGGGCTGCTCTTCAGGGACATGGACTGCCCTCCCACGTTAAAAAAAGTCCACTGGTACAACCTCGTTCCTTGCTGAGGAAAAAAACAACAGGATCTGCAGGCAAAAAGGCATTGTTTGTTTCTTGTGTTTTTTTCCTTCTTCCCCCTGAGGAAAACATATATTTTAAATTCTATCAAATAAATATGCATTTTTTTTTCATCGTATGTATTTATAAGCCAGAGTCTTGTCTGATTAAAAGATACTTCTGTTTTCCCACCTTTCAAACCTATTTGTGTTCTTGTCATCTTCCCCCAAGTAAAAAATGTCCAGTTGAGAAAGCTAAGAAATATTAAATAAACATTAACATTACACTGAAGATCTGATCCTTGAGTCAGGTTAAAGGTCAGGCTGACTCACACCCACTGAATGTCCAGCTGATTTAAGAAACTCATTTCACTTTCAGAGGGACAGACAAAGAAAGGCAGGCTGAGTTGGAAGAAAGAAGATGCTGTTAAAATCTGACACGAGATGAAGGAAAAAGTTATATCTCCTTTTTGAACTAATATTAAATTTGGATATCACTGAACTAATCATGAATTGACAATACTGAAAATATTGAGCTAGTATTAACTTTCTCTTTCCCAAAGATGAAAGAAAATGATAATTAGTGAAACAGCTGGTTAAAAAAAAAAAAAAAGACAAGAAGAGATTTACCTTATTTAACTAAGTTGTTATGTTTAGCTAAGTTCAGAAAGAAGTTGTTGGCTCTGCTGCTCCTTTTGCTTAGCACCCTGAGTGCTGTGTGTTTTAGCCTGGTGAAAAGGCTAGACTGCATTACAGGAGGGTATAGAAAAACAATCAAACAGGAAGAAAGAGGTACCCTCCTACTGCCAACAGCAAATTACTGATCCAGAGAGCAAAGAAGGTGCAAGTAAAGGATTGTTCCTTGTAGGATTTTAAAATAACCTTATTTTCAGAGGCACTGAAATGTTATTATCACTGTTGTCCTGAACTGAACACAGGGCAAAGTTCAAACTGGTATCTGACCTGAAATTCTGTGATTTCAAAATTCAAGATTGTACCATTGTGGACCTATTTTAAATAAATTTCAAACCTACAGATTGGGAATATCTGTTAGGGAGACAAAGAGTATGTAACCTTTCCTGTAGCTAATAATTATTGAAAGGACAACGTAGCAAAACCAATAAGCCACACCAGATCCTCAGAAATTCTTCCCATTCCTCTTGTAGGTTTCTCTACTGATAATTTTTATCAAAGTTAACTGAAATAAAATAACTTCTCACAATGAAATCACCTTTAGTTTGTCATAACGGCATCTGTAATGATTTTCGACATCCATCTGCAGGATATGGCCATGGATAACTTGTGAAGCATTAACACTTATTCGCCACTGGTAATTGGAATTGTGAGGGTAACTTCTGGGCCACTGTGGGGAAGCTATTTGTCCTCTGTTTCCCACAATGTCATTTCCATACACTGAAAAACAAGAAAGAGACAACTAATGCCTCTGATTCACATACATTAAAAGAAGCATTGGGACCCAGCCTAGAATATAGCTTTCATTTCAGTCTATCTGACTTAATTTACTTAGGACTAGACAGTGCTGAGACTTGTGTCTCAGACATTCCTAGGATGCAGTGTGCCCTTATCTGAAGGAAAAGACCCACTCAAGTGGTGTGGTTTTACATGTAGAAGGGGTGGTCAGATGTAACTTTTAAATTCCCCTGACTCTCCCTACTTCATGTTAATTTCTTCCTAAGAAGCATTAAGTAATATTTTTTTTTTAAATGGCTGTGTGTGTTCTGGTGAAAAATGGTTCTGATTTGATTAAGCTCTGAACTATTGATAATTCCTTTTGAAAATGAGTAGTAAAAGTCTCAAAGTAAGGAAAATTGTTAGAAATTTAGCTTGCGTAATCAGAATGGCTGTGGATGTTTAGCTTCAGCAGTATGTTCATGCAGAAATTCAGACTGATGTTTACAATGGTCCCTTGAAATTCTGGATCTATAAACCAGCATCATCTCCTTTTCTTCTAATTCTGCTCCTTGGCTGATGGCATTTAGATCCTAACTAGAAGATGTACTCTGTTGTACTCAAAAAGCAAAATAGAAAGCTGGGAAATAAATGCTTTTTTCTTGATTTATCAGTTGCCTAATAAATGGCAACATAAACATTAAATACAATTTCTCACTCTCAGGTAGCAAAGACATATGGTCAGATATTTGTAACTCCAACAAGCTACTGATAAACTCGGGTTGCCATAGAAGTATTTAGTTTATAGCTCTTACTCATATCTTCACAGCCCAATACTGCTGAAGGAAGAACCTGAAAACAGTAATAAACTGTTAGAAAACAGTCAATGAAATAGAGGACATTTTATTTTCTGTAATCTATGGAACTTTTTGCTTCTGGAAGGATAATATGATCAATTTGAAAAAAAGTATTGTCTGTTATGATACTTTAAAAAGACAGAATGTCATATCTAATTCTTCTGATTATGTTATACTCAATATACTTACACGTTCTTCTCCAACATGCTTTAGAACATCTCTTTACATTCAGCAGATATTTTACAAATTATTTTTTTTAGTGAATTTGCAGCCTTGCTGACATCAACGAACATTTTCTAATAGACTTAGAGGGCCAAGCAATCACTTTTTTTAATCATTTTGGAAGTGTTATGAAAGAACAATAGTTTTCAATTAAACAACATTTACTTACAGTGAGAGAATGTGGCCCTGAAGCCAACACCAGTGTGTGAGCTGTCTGAGACAAATTTGACCCACAGGACATGTCCAACAGTAGACGTATAATTTGAAGGCAAGGAGTTCCCACAGAATCGTCCTGCCAGCATGCCTGTATCATTCCCTTCACGAATCTCCAGGTAATCTTTGGTGCAGCCACTACTGTCTTCCACCTGAAATGCTCTGTTTGAATAGCAGTAGAAAAGCATTAGCAGGCATATACTGGCACATACTTCAGAGTTTGCCCTGCCAGGCCACTAATCCCCCTGTAGCTGGTATCCTACTGTAACAGTTAAGAAGAGGGCAGCAACAAAACCCTTCAGAACCCAGAAGTCACTGCTCATCACCTGGCAGTGTTGCTGATGCAGGATCTCTCTTTCTAGCCCCTTATTTTACAACAGAGCTTCAGTTTGCAAGGTTATCATTTTTAAAGAGTTCTCAAACCCTTGCGATACTTCTTGGTTCTCCAACAACAGCTATGAAACACAGAAACCCCCGATACAGAAACCAGTAATATAAGTCCAGGTCAGACTATTTACTCGGTGCACATCTGTTGGGTGCAGAGAATACTTTTAACCTGACAAATCAGTTTGCAGGCCCTTCATATATGTATTATTTCAGCACACACTATGGTGAGAAAACAATTGCCAGAGGCCTAGATTCATTTGTAGTTAACACCTCAGAGCTCAGAAATCCCTTAGCAGTTTCTCCTGCTTCTTTGGCCTCTGAGTTTCACCTAGCTGGGTGTGCAAAATAATAATAGCAATTGCTAGGGACTCTTCTAAACCAATTTTTACCTTAGAAAAGGAATGGGATTTAGTAATCAAATTAAAAATTCTTAATTATTGCACCAAGCTGAATGCTAAATATATTCAAAAAAATCATTATCTGTTATTCTGAGTGAAATACTTTGATTCGATCCAATATACTTTTCAGAAGCAGGCTACGAATATATAGTAAAGATTCCACAGAGTGCCTCTTATAACCAAGGACCTAAATATTTTGTGCTTTCTGATTTTCTGGTAACAACTCCTCCCCCTTCAGTCCTGAATTTAGCCATATGTGTTCAGCGTACACATGCTGTGAAATGCTTCCAACCACTCATCTGGATATACTTCAGACTAATTTAAAGCTAACCCTCAAACTGCAAGACAAGCATTTCTGTTCAGACTGAGATGAAGAAATTGAATGCCTCATGCCAACTTTATAAACCCCCTAATATTAAATTAAATAAAATAATTACTTCATGCTTCCCAGTATTTTCAGCTTGCCTTTCAGCTATGTGTAGCTAAAGAAAAGAGTTTACATCTACTCAATGTAACTATATATAACTGAATGTATGTTCCACTGTTTCTGCTTCACACTAGATTTCTGTTTTGTCTCCAAAAAGTTGTTATTCATTATCTTGTAGGAAATATTTTGGAAAATGTTTTCAGGGTATAGTACTTTTTTTCTCTGTGTCAGTAAGTGAAGCAGGAATAGAATGTCCTTTTAATTGCGTTAGCGAATCAGTACATGCCTAACAAATTGCATCTTATGCAGTCAGTATGTTACTGGGCAAATTCTCCTTTTGTCCCAATTAACTGTAAATGTAGGTTTCAGAATTACTTTTATTTTCCTGCTCATTCTCAATAAGCTTTGCAAAGGGTCAGTTCTCTCTTAGCAGCAGCCATTGTTTGATGGCTGAAACCGAGACGCTCAGAAATCCACATCATGGGTAAAGAACAACCTAAAGACCCCAGTAAAGGACTCCACATTGTTCTGTGGATCACACATTACTTTCCTGTCAGAAGTCTTCAAAAGAAAGTTACTTTGCTGAAGGGAAAACAAAATTCCTTCAGATATTCTCTTGGTCCCTGTTGTACCTCTACTGCTATAATTGAAGAAATTTTGAAGAGTTTAATATAAATTTTAACCCTACAGTCTTGGAGTATCTCGGCCCTTTATATTACTCAGCTGTATAATAATTACTACAATGCATCTGGTAGTAAGGAAATAGTAGGAATTTCCTTTGTAAAGAAAAGGCAGAGCAATGCTAAATTTCCTCTTCTTGTTTATACGTGAGAACTGGCTTCTTCAGCATCCCATGTTGCTCAAACAGTAAACCACTTATTTATATAATGCTGTATATGCCTTAATATAAGCAACAACTAAGACAGGAGACCACTGATTGCAAGCTGCCACTAACCACTGCTGTGCTATCTTTCCAAGTTACTCTAAAAACAGGTTTCAGCTTTATCATCTGGTAATTAAATTTCCTAATAAACACAGAGCATCCTTCCTTCAGGTATCTTAAAGGGCTGAATAATAACCCCTGGCAATGCATTTACATGAAGGACAGCTGGAGCCGGTTGCCAGGGGAGCTGAGAATCGTCCAGACACACTCGGTGTTGAGCGGATATGGCTCAGGATAGCCAGGGCTGTTGAAAGCTCCTCTGTCCATGTGGAAAGTACCCCCGCAGGCTGCAACAAGAAGGAGACAGCAGAGGCTTGAGAAGGATGACATTAAAAAAAATACCCTGCCAGAGCCAAAGCATTTGCTAGTCAAGAAAGCATTTCTCCTTGTCTCCTTGTTCTTTAGCTTGTTGATATACTTGCTGAGACCTTGGCCAAAAAGAGGAAGGGCAATAGGGGATTTTAAAAGCAGGGTGTCAGAGAGACAAAGAGATACAGGATCTGTTCTTTTTCTTAAAAGTCAGAGGCATAAGGTTGCAACACATGTCATGTGGTCTTACACGATGATGATGCAGCATAGGTGGCACGGAAGCCCCTGGCAGTAATGTTGTTGTTGGAGATGAAGTTCACCACCAAGGCATTACCAAAAGAAGTGATAGGATGTGGTATAGTAGTGCCACAGTAACGGCCTGAAAGACAAGAAGCCAGAGAGAAAAAAAGGAATGTTCAGCATGTAATTACTATTGCTAATTTAACATTTGAGGTTAATGCCTGACAGAAACCAGGAGTAACATTCATTGCTTACAATTGCAGTTGTCAATTCAAATCTACATAAAAATGAAATACTCCATTTCATTAGCACAGAACTCAACTCTGGTGGAATTTTTTTTTTTTTTTTTAACAGAGGAAGGACCTCTTGCAATCCAGACACTGTAGTCACTGGCTATTCTGTCACTTAGCTCCTTTGTGTTCACTCTATCCAGAAATTACAGCCTAATTGAAAAAAAAAAAAAAAGACAACCCACCAAATATATCCAACAGTAGTTTCCATTTCACTCAGTTGGTTTCTGATGAAAAAAACAAGTGATAAATAACAAATAACAGACCAGTTCTCTAATGGATTGTAACATGAGGATTAGCAATATGCAGAAAGGCATCTGACAGCAAAAAGAAAGGTAGCAGCTAGTATCCTAGTCCTCTTGCCAAGTGAAAGCCAAGGGTAGAAGAGCACAAAGTGAATTCTGCTCTCACAAAGTGGTTACAAACCATTTAAATTGAGTGCAGCCCCACTCCTGACAAAGGAACATATACAAAAGGGGTGGGCATAATCAGTCACAGATATTCCGAATTTCCCAGAAAGGTATTTGAGGCAGTCCTGGGGAGGCGAGGGGAGTCAGAACCACTCTGTTGCCCAGGCTCTCTCACGGCTTCCTGGCAGCAGAAACACTGAATTTTGCTGCTCCAGGCTGCCCCTGCTACTTGAAGGTGATGGCTCTGGACAGAGATGTTGAGAGAAAGCTGTAGAAAAATCAGGAAGAAGCAGAAAATCATGCTTTCCACCGCTTCCAGAAAATCCATTTTCTGCTGCTATAAATCTGCAGCTTTCTTCACCTATGTACAGTAAACATAGGACTGTGCTTATGAGTGTGAGTTATGTTTTTGCGCAGTTAATTGGGAATTCAGTTTAAACTGAATTGCTTCATTCCCAACATTTTTCAACTGAGAATGAAAAGGCAGTTGGAGTCAACTCCATACTGCAGGTTAGTAGGAATACAGTCAGAGCCTGGGAGGACTGTGCTATTCAGACTGAAGGCTTATCCTCCATTCCTGGTCTCTGGCCAAGGAGCTTCCTTTAACAGAGAAGCAGGACACTCACAGAAAGCATTCTGCTTGCCTTGGGTGTAGTTCTACATATGAAATTATCGAGGGAAAGATACAATACCTTGAAGAGGAGCTTCATAGTTATTCCCATCCAAAATCTCCACAAAATCCGTTGTACAGTTTTGTCTATTGTTTTCAACATCAAAGTCAGTGAAAGAGAGTATCACGTGGTTGACTGTCAACAGCAAAGAGTAAAAACTTAAAAAGCTTGGCATTTCACAGAGAAATAATTAAATGTAAACAAATGCACCGTATTTTCTTTTCTCCCCTGAAGTCAATCAGTCCCCATAAAGCATAACATCTGAAGTAGCTTAATCCCTGATATGTGGAGTGAATTTAATGGAAGTGCATTAATCCTTACTGCAAAGGTCCTGGTAAATCTCTTCATATTTCAGTACTTTCTAGTACAATCGACATTAAAAGCACAGATTTAACACATACAGATAAATCTAAATTTTCTAATATCTGAACAGCTTTGTTATATACTTACTGAAAATGTCAGCAAATACAAAATGGAAAATTTACACACATTCAGAAACAAAACTTAGTTCTACACATCTGACCTTTTGTCCCTTTGCGATCTATACCATAGATCCAGACAAAATGTGAATTGATGCTGCCCTGCTCCAGGCTTAGAAAGAGCTGGTTCTTTCATCATTTTGTAATGTTCCACATACATCAATTGGACTGGTTAAAGGATCATTAACTACCCTCAGCTATATTTGTACAGAATTGGATTTTCCACACCCTTGGACTGCAGGCTACATCCTGAAAAAGAGGATTTCTGACTCAGGGTATTTTTGAATCTTATATTGCTCTTACTTGTCCGATATGAACAAAGGTGAAGTCACAACTGGAAGAAGAGAGGCTGTCCTCAACACAGTCTGTGTTACTCCTGGCCTTAGAGCTCCTATGCAGTTTGAGCGGGTCAGAAAGTCTCATGATTTAGATGATAACTAAATTTTCTCCCACATTGACCAAGCCTGAATTTGACACAAATATTTTGCTTCTCACTGGGCTACAATTAATTAGCTAGAATAAGCTGAAATGACAGACATGGACCCAGGCGCTGCATTCAGCAGGGTGCCACTGCCTGGCATTCAGCTGCATAGTCTGTGTGTTTGGCACTCTTTTGTGTCCTGGCTGGTCAATCAATTACTGCTATCAATGCAGGTCCTCAGGATACAAAGCAAAAAGGAAAAACACAGTGGGTGGCAAGAGCAGGAGACTTGATGGCCTTCTCAGTAAAAGCAGAGCAGGAACTCTGCTGTGGTTTGCCATTGGCTAAATCTATTGTATATGGCTATGCCCTGTAACGCTGTGTGACTGCCACAATGAAGCCACGTGTGCCTGTAACCTGTGGTCTGCGGTGGTCCTGGCGGTAGGTGGAGGAAGTCACTACATATACAGGCTGCTTCTTATACAGCATTTTTGTCATGTCTCATACTGATGTAATTCAGGAGACAACAGTTACGTATGACTTTTCAACTTGGATCCAGAAATATTTGTCTTTAGAAATAAATGTTGTATAGGTGAGGAACAGCTTTGATGGTGTCCCTTCCGTGTACAAGAACCTATGCTAAAAAAAAGTGTTGCTTATCTCCTGATTTTTCTTCTAGTGTTTTCTTTGGCAGATTTATTGTGATTTTATAACTTAACAAAATAAACTCACAAATGGAGTTGGAACATTCTATGATTTAAAAAAAAATGTCTAAATACCAGATGAACAACTGAAGTTCAATAGTTGCTATTAAAGACTAACATTTATTTTAAATGATGTTACCAGCATGGTATTACCCAATTGTAAATATTTTTTAGGAATCTTATACAATGTAAAGATAGGTATCAATACTAGGTATTAAAGGTAATAGCAGTATCTGATGGAAAATATTTGGTGTCCTATGATCAAGGAACATTTGAGAGTGTATCCATACACATAAGACCAGTATACTTATATTTTTTAATTGTATTTGAAATTGAAATTCCTCTGTATCTTTTCTCATTATTTAATTAAAATTTCTTTTTTTTTTTAATGTTAACAGCATAGATTCAATCTAACACAACTCTAGCTTGAAAAATCCAGACCAAAATAAGGTCTGCTAAATACAAGTGCTTTAATTATATACAAGCCCTTAGATTTTCTCACAGATGAATCCAACTTCACATAGTATTCAACAACTTGCAATTTATAATTGCAACACTTGGTAACAGCAAATCAGCTAAGATGACAAAGTTGTAAACTGTTTTCCTCACTATGCACTAAATCTTTTACAGTGAAATCTGATTTAGGACAGATTAGGAAAGCCACACTCTCCAACTACCAGGATGCAGAACTTCCTAGAGAAATAAAGGAGGAATTTTGTATTGTTATCACAGAAAAGAAGATGAGGATGTTAGTCATTCAAGCTAACTATAAAAGATGTTTTTACTTACATGGTTCCTGAGCCTGAATAATCCAGCTGCAGTTCTGATTGTTTGGGTATTTGGCAGGATACAGTGGAGAGGAAATAGCTGCCCCAACTGAATCTGACTCTATGAAACTTCCGCATGCTTTAGAATGAAACACATACACACACACACATACAAACATAGATATTTATATATACAAAACACTCTGTAGGGCAAATCAATGTATAAAATGTAACATCAGTGTGAAATGAGGATAAAATTCACAACAGTAATTTATAGGAAGAAGAGACTTAAGGACTAGCTCCCAGTACCACATGTACACTCTTAACCTGAATCCACAGGCCATGCTGCACCTGGCTGACCATCTGAGAGAAGCCAGAGTGACTTGGGAACAGTCCTCATCTTTATCACCTCCTCATAGCCCAGAAGAGAAATCTTGGGGCCAGAATAATTTGGTTTCAGGATATTGCAACTGTACAACCATTTCTCTGATCATTTGCCTGTGTTGGCAACTAGGAAGGAAAAAATCATAAGAAACTGTCCAGAACCTTCCAGCGCCCAAGGATGGCATCCCATTGCATTGGCATGATCCTCTAGTGACCTGCGTCAGCAAAACTGCAATTGTGTGAAATGCTGACTGACTGCCTAACTTCAGATAACAGTGCTGAGTGCTGCCTCATTTCTAAGCGTACAGACTCATCATAAACCCCCCAGATCGGAGTTTAACAGACAGCTGCTCTAAAGAGCAGGGTGGGGAGTTAGGTACCAAAGACTAAGATTCATTTATTGTGCTGTGCTGCCTAAAACATCCAGATGGAGATGGGACTTAGAGGGTTTTCTCAGGAAGAGGGAAGCTGGGTTGCATACATCCTAGGTAGGGAGCACTTACTCACCAGGCATGTTTTGTTCAGGGCCTAATCCAGTAAATGTGTTCTGAGGATGTTTAACAGATTAGGCTCTCATAGCCATTAGTCAGAAATGCCCAATTAGGTATCTAATTAGTACCTCTATAACTGGGGTTCCTGAGATTTTTGCTGATGCAAATTCCTCCTTTTCTTTATAATTTTTCACAATATTTTCAAATAAATAAAAATTGTGGGAAAAGTACTGATTTATAGTAAAAACAATCCTAAGAAAATGAGAGAAAGGGATTTTCTCTGCAAAAACTAAATGGCTATATCTTGGGGGAAAAATGTTTCCAAACTTATTGTGAAAAAATGAAAAAGAATCACCAATCATCAAGTAGTACATAATTTCATCAAAAATTCTGCCCAGTTGGTGTAATTTTCCGTTGAGAAGGAAACCATGTAAAATACAAATTAGTCCTCCACAAATTGGATAGTTGATGTTTGTCAGGGTTTTCAGGCCTGAATCTGCAGACTTCATCAACAGCACCACACAGAATTCTTTTATACCTTTTCAGATTCATGCGCTTGGATAGACATATAAAATGTTATTTTGTCACTAGGTCTGTGGAAACAGCCAGTTGCACATCTTTCTCAGGACAGTTATAGGTAGCTAACCCTCTAGGGAGAATGAATAAGAGGCAGCTGATGTGTGTTAGATGCCTCGCTATAACAAGTACATTTTCTTCCCCAATCAAAGAATCTAAGATGATCCTGAACTTCTTTAATCTATAATTTGGAAAAATTCAGTTCTGTTAAAGATACGCACTGGCATGCTGCATGTATAGAAAACACACTTCTCATTATCAGCTCTGATAAAAGATTGTGTCTAATACAAACAAACTGGTGATTAGAGAAATATATATTAATGAAAATGATGAAATTACCTTCAGTAAAGTGAGCACTGAAGCCCCTGTGCTCAATGGTTCTATCAGAGCGCAGTCGGATGTACATCAGATTCTTGGAGGATGTGATAGGAAGAGGATGCTGTGTCCCACAGAGTTTTCTAAGAAGTGGTGCTTCATTGCTAGGACCATCAAATACCTGTTATGAAAAGATCAAATTTGGTATTTGGTTTCAATAGGAGTATTGGGAAGCCTTTTATTTCATTCCCTCTCTTATGTTTCATAGATTTTGTTCCTGATACAGCCCTGGTATGGGCAGTGCAAACAAACTATGCATCGCCTATCTTAATCTGTGTCCATTTAAAAAAATGCATGTAGTTCAGGCTGAAGCTATTGTAGCCTTTATAACAAAAATGCATCAAGTAACCATCTTCCTCTGTGTGTACCTGGTACGGAAACAACTCTTCTTTAACAATCCAGATATCTCCATACACTTGTTGTTTTCTGTTAATGGCTAACATGAGTTCCCATGTAGATTTTATTCAATTAAACCCTACATCTTGACACAGTAAAGCCTTCTAAAATTGGTGCTAATGTGCAACAAGTGCACCAGTGGGAGCTACGACTGTGTATAAAAAGACAAGACACTAGGATTATGGGTTTTAATTGTTATTTAAGCAGAGGGTAAATAAAAGTTTTTTAAAAAAGGACAAAAAAAGTAAAGATGGTTTTACAAAACTTCACTTTTAATTTTACCACAAATGCCTTCCTTCTCTTTTTTCCCCTTAGAGCTGATAATTTTGTTTTCTTCCTCTCTGTTTCACAATCAGGAAGTGAAAGATAGTGAAGTTAAAACCAACGAGTTTCTAGCTTAAATGACACCAAGATCATAAAAAGAGAAAACACAGACTGGGGAGAAATGGCCATAGTCTCATAGTCTCCTGCTAACTTTTCCTAGCACTCCAGCAGACATGATTTGTTGCTTCTTTGAGCCATGGGCTCAGAGTCCTCGTGCCCAGTTTCAGAAGCCACGAGCACTGGACCCAGCAGCACAGTTCCATGACCCACAGAGGAAGAGCTTTTGGGCTACTGGGCCACAACAAGGGTTGAATTCGGTTCCTGTTTCAGCATTAACATCCTGCATGTCCGTAGGCACGTAATTTAATAGAACCTGTGACTCAGCTTCCTATAGCAAAATGAAGAAAAATATGGCTAGGAGCACTGGAAGATATTCAGATTATAGGATATTAAAACCTATACAAAAGCCTACTTTGAGCAAAAGAATGCCATTGGGTTAGAAGAAATGTACTTCATATTAAGATTGTAATAATTTACTTCAAAATGCCTCAAATTCCAGCAAGCCTGTGCAATGCAGCATGGATTAATTAAAAATTTCTAACTAGACTGCATAACATAATGCAATGTTTCTGCCTCCAGTATTCAAAGGCCTTTAGAGCACATTAGTGAAAAAAAAATACAGAAAAACAGTAACTGAGAGAAAGGTGACCTGTCTCAAATAAACGTCAGAGCTGAGAAACAAAGGACAGAACTCCTGCTTACTCCACTGGCATATCCTACATGGCCAATGCTGTACTAGTGAATTAAACATTTGCCCTTGGGCCTGTAACACTAGCTAGCTGTGTGGGACCTTGTGACAAAGTAATAAGTGTACTGCAATCTCTGTAAAAATGAGTACCTGGTAAAGACACCTAAAATGTCCATCCACTCAGCCTTTTCTTCTGTTTTGGCATCCTGACACAATCAGCCCTTTAATACATAGTGTGCAGTGTTTATTGTTCCTCTGCACATATATTCTGTATATAAATCAGACTGCCTGGAGTCAAAAACCACAAGCCGTGGAATGTGAAAAAAAAGTAATGACTAACAAAATAACCTTTAGGATTAAGGTACTGTCTTTCCCTCAGCAGTAGTGAGAGGATTTTATCTGAACGCTAGAACTGAGAATAAGCATTGCATTGACAGTGCGTAGAGAGAGGGCCTGACTACAGTTCACACAAACTGCAGGTTTCAATGGATCTGTGCCACTCTGCACAGCTTAGGATGTGACCACTAACACATGGACTGTTGTGAGACTCCAGTAGCTGAGCTTTCTCACTCAGGAAGATATTAAGGATGAGTAACATGAGAGACTAGGCATTTCATTCCAAGAGCTTTCTGGAATAAAGAAGTCTTTCTGTGGTAAGTGCATGCACTGGGAGAAGTGCATGAAGCAGAGGAATGTTTTGTAAATCAAGTGTATTTGCTCTTTCTGGGCAGCTTGCTTGAAGAATGGTACTGTCTCCTCTTTCAGAAACCCAGAAATTATTCCTAGCCTTTACACGTGCTAAAAATCTGATTCAAGGAACAGTTCAGTATAAGCATTAGTGAGATACAGCAACAACTTTTAGGGGCTACAGCAGCTACAAGTTAAGCAGGAACAGTAAAAACATGGATAATGTACGGCTGCATCATTTTTGCTCACATGCTGTTTATTAGCTTAAACTATTTTATAGAGAGGGTTTCAGTCTTGAATCTAGATCAGAAACCACAATATTCACACATTAGTTAAAAAAAGTTGTGTCTCTCTGCAGCTTCTTAAAGTTATTTTGAAAATGTCTGAGAAATGCATTTCTGTGGCTGCATGAGTAAAGGAAAATTATGCATCTGCTTATTTAAAAGCCAAGTTTTCATTTGCACTGTGCATAGCAGCAATTTGCTCTTCCCTTTCCACAACAAACATAACTGAGTGACTCATTGCTTTCCTGTTCAAATGGGTCCTGCATTTTGCAAAAGCACATGACAAAAGAAGGTAATTTTTGTCTTCCGAGCCATAAAAACTCCACATATTTCTATCTGTCCTCTCTTGGAAGATCCTCTCTGAGAGCACCTGGAATAAATGAATTCATACCTCCTCTCCAGCTCCCACAGGCTTACATTTCTACATTCCTGTGTACTACTTGTTATACTGAAACAGGAAAGAAAAATGACATTTACTTAATCAAAGCCACTGAAAAGAACAAACTATTTCTCCCTTCCCCATTTCAGTGCCTTGCGCTACAGGCACTGCCTTCCAAGCCACATCCTCCTCAAGTCTCCACATACTTGAAACTTGCTGATCTGCACTCCTGGTGTAGCGTCAGCTACAATACTGGTTAAACACATGGCAAAAATTAGAGGAATTAGTGCACTCACTATTTCTTTCCCTCTACTTTCCTTCAAAGAAACAAATCTGTTTGCTGTAAGACACACTCTCCAGACAGAAATGGGCTGGTACATAAAGAGAAATAAAAAATTTATTCATTATGTATGGTGACAGTGACTACAAAAAAGTCCTCTCAAAGATCTTACGCTTTCTACAGAATATTACTGAGTTATATTTGAGATCAGAAAAAGTAAAGGCTATACATCCTCATTTAGCAGATGAAGAGATGCTCATCTATTCTGAGAACAGGTAAATCAAAGAACTGAGACACAGAAACTGAGGAATCTAATTTAGGCAGCTAAGTGAATGAAGAATGTGCTTTTTGGTGGCCTGAATGCTCCATCCATTGACTCTAGTGGGAGTTCAGAGGAGTTACACTGTGAGTTACCGTTACTGGCTTAAAATTCTTTTGGCTGAACCTAGATCTGTGCTCAGATTCACATGTGAAATCATTGAGCAGAACTGAAAAATGCACTGGGATTTTTAGAGTTGCAGCATAGCCAAGAAGGAGCAGAAAGGAGTGTTTTCCCTCCCTCCATTTTGCTCACATAGCAAATGTGCAATGGAAAACACTGCAGGAAAAAGATACATTTTCATGTGTTCCCATAGAAAGGAATTTACAGTAAAATATTTTCGAAAAATCTCCAGTCATAACACAGCGAAAATGACGGTCTAGAAGGGGAAGGATGAAGGAAAAGGCCATTGGTACACTCAAGGGTGGAGGGGAGCCCCATGAGAACTCACAGAGCAAATAAAATCCATAAAGATAAGTAAAAACTGAAGAAAGGGAAAAGGGTGGAACCACTGTGTTACTCATACATAGTAGATGCTGTTCCTATATTAGAGAGAGAAAAACAACCCACCAGCTTCCTTAGATGGCCATATCCTAAACTGTTCACAGTCAGACCTCTACTTACATATTTCTAGGCACTCTGTCTCCTCACTCTGTTCTCCTATTACCATGTGAGGCATATAGCAAGCCTTAGAATGAGACAAACACAAATCACATCGAGGTATTTGTAACAAGTGATTTTCTGCCTATTGGAATACCAGGTAGAGAAGGAAACACCATCCATTCCTTTCTTGCCCTGCTGGTCCCCCTAAATTATCACTGAAGAGCTTGTCATCTTATAAACCAGAACCTCAGAGCCCTTCATTATCTCTTGGCTTCAAATCAGCATTCTCTCTCATCCAGTTTCAAACCACCCTCCACTTGCTGGGCAGTGATTGATGCCTGCATTAAATTTAAATCTCCCTCCCTGCTCACGTTGCTGCTTCAGTTGTGTTTTCACAGCTGGGGCTGATGGGCAATTTCTTCCTCCACCATGCCCAAAAAACTAAAAAGCAGAAGCAAACAACAGATACTTGTATAGCAATAGAGGAAAAGGTGTGGCACTGCACTGCAATGGTCTGCAAACTCCACTCACGCAAAGAGCTCTGCCACAGACGTCTCCTCTGCCAGCTGAAAGACTGATGCCTTTCAGTGATTAAAAATCCAGTGCTTTTATCTGGCCTATAAAGGTAATGGGAGTTGTGCCTCTAACTCATAGTGCTGAGTAATCTACAAACTGTTTAGATAGTGTTTAGAATTTTTTTTTTTTTTTTTGCATTTTTACCAGTACTGCCATTTCAAATGACCTGTGTCTCTGTCAAGCAATCTGATTTTCTGCTTTGGTGTGATATCATGGAAGACTTGAAAATGTTTTTAATAGATTTTCCCTTTCAATGATTCCCTGATGTGGTTAAACAATTTAAATAAAAAGACATAACCATATTTCCCTACGCTTGAGAAGCAGAAAAAAGTGAACAGTCATCGTACAAAGATGCTTTGTGGCCAAATGAAGTCTCTACTTTGCTCAGCAAAAGGGGGAGACTTTTTTTTCTGGTTCAGTACAAAAGTGCTTTACGAGGCAATGCTGTTAAAACATGCTGTTTTCAAAAGAGTCCCAGTTCCTGCCAAATTGAGTTCTTTGTGAATGACAGTTTATCAAGGAGAGGAAACCTGGATTTTGGGCTACAGCCACTGTGCTTTATCCAGCTGGTACTGATCACACATGCCTTTGTACTGAGTGAAGTGCAACATGACATCAAAGGTCAGGATTTCATGTCCCTCCTTCCAAAAGGCCAAGTGGAGATGCGGGGAGTTCTTCATTGTCATGCACTGATTGAGCAGCAACTTGAACTTCTGTGACATCAACAAAAGTTCACAAACAAACAGCAGTGTGATGCTTTTAAGAGCACAGCTGCTCTAATGAAGCAATTAGACAGCTGAGGAGCCCCTGAATACACGGTGCACACTTGAACAAAACCAGCCAAAATTCCTTCTGCATGTAGAACCCATCTCTCCTGAGTTTGTAGCAAAGTGTGGGCAATCTATTATATATGTGGGCAGTCCATCCTATGGGTTGGAGCAAGCTGTGGTAAACTCCACTATAAATGGGAAAGGGTGTCATAATAACAGCCATCTATGTATGAGTTATTCCTGCAGTACTAACTACAACTCGCGCCACGAAAACGAAAAAGATGGTGCCAGGATGCAGCATGCACTGCTTTCAAGAAAAGATCCTTCCAAATATAAGTGGGAAACTGGAAGAATGCAGAAATACATTTGTAAAGCCTTTTTCATCGGTGAAACAAAGGGAACTATTTATCTGTAAATTTAAGCCTTAGCTCATCAGTGAATAAATATGACCATGCAACTACAAGTTTGAAACCAACTGCAGCCTATGTTGCACAGTAGGCTTCCTCTTTTGCAAGCATTTCACCAGACTCAATAAGGAAACTTTTGAAATTTTTATTGCTACTTACTGCAACATTGTCATAGTTACACGAATGGTGATTTTCAATGTCAAAATCTGTGAAGTTCAATAGGACTCTGTGGCTGTAGTCAACTTGGATAACCCAAGAACAATCTGTGTTGTTATTATAAGGTTGAGGATAGTTTGGAGAATGGATTTCCCCACTGGTAGCTTGGAAAATACCACCACAGCCTGAAAAAAGACATAATCAGTTTAATCAGAAGCTCTTTTATGCTTAGCAAGATTCCAGCTCTATTTTTAAACTAAGGGAACAACACCCCCATCTTTATATTTTCTACATTAAACCTTTGTAAGATGGGCATTACAACTGTTGAACTGTCCTGTCCACAACAAAAGTCAATGGAAATGTCTATCTGGAAAGTATAACATTATAATTATTGGTGAATATGCAACAACAATGCTTGTGAGTAATGTTTCTTTCTAACCTCAGCTGGTAGTAGATGTTGTAAAGGCTGAAGCATTAGTGCTGATATTCCTCTATTCGAGATACTGTAAAAGCAATCAAAACTCCTGTTCATATGAATGCTACAGACCTAGCATACTGAGAAAGCAGTGACTAGACCTAGCTGAGCATAGGGGTGAGAAAACCATTTCTGAAAATACCAACACAGCTAGGAGGTCCACTTTCCCCATGACCAAAGCAACAATTGCAAGCCTCAAGTTTTGACTTCTCTGCCCAAGAAGCTGAGGGCTTCCTGAGGTCTCCACTCTCAGATATTTCTGACCAGAACAGCTCCAGTGCTCATGAATATCTAAATAGCCTGGAATGATGGATCATGTGCATAAAGTGCCAGGACTTTCAGTAGGACTAGCACAAAAAAAATGGACTTTTATACATTGTACATGGACAGAGGAGAGTGAGAGAAAGGCATTGGGACTGCTGTAAATGGAGGCAGCCTGCTGGAAGGATAAAAAATATACTGTTATTGCATTCTGGTGAGTGGGTGTTTTAGAGGCTAGAGGGAGGTTCCTGGAGTACAACAGGCAAGATTCTATAAAGGGATGAGAAGCTTTCAGGGGGCCTAAGCAGAAAAATAAGCCGCCAGATCTTGGAAGGGGTTTAATTCAAAAGACTATTGTGGACTTCTTTTATTCAAAAAAAATCTTGTGCCTTTCTCATAAAACTCAAAAAAACCCCAAACATAAAGAATGCAGAAGTATAAAACTTGACAAACTAGAATCAGTGTGCTTAATCAACCAAAACTGCAAGAATTAAAATCTGCCTCTCCTCACTTTTCATTGCAACTATTTTCCGATAATTAGCCTTTTCATTAGAACTCCCATGTAGAGAGGTGTAGTTGGGTCTTTTAAGCATTATCTTCTTTTACTGATTACCAGTAAAGCTTTGAACAAACAATCACATGGGGGATGGATGAACCTTGTAGAGTTCAAGTATTTACTAATCACTTCAAATATTTTTGGAGTCTGCTGAGTTCTCCAAGTTAAGCCACAGTCCCAGATAGTTTTCACTTTACAGTTTAAAACCAAAAGCATCAGTCAGGACTCTGTGTGGGTGAGTGGGCGGGGAGAACTGTTACCATGCAAAAAGTTCTTTTCTGATTACAGGGATGTCTTGGTTAATTATGTAGAGAAGAAACTCCAGCAAAGTAGACTGTTACAAAATACACAAACAGGCCTAGATTTTAGCTAGTTAGGCAATTTTTTCCTCTGTTTGTTTTTCAGCATCTCTTAGTTTTAATAAATCCCGTAACACCTGAATTCTCCTTCAGTTTTCAGTCCTATACCATTTGACTACTTTAAATGCTTGCATGGCTGATTTGAAATTCTCAGACTTCCTGAATTTCTCCTGGTATTAATCAGTATACTCACCACCTGGATTTTCTTGCCAGGAGGCATTAAAACCTTTCCCTGTCCCTGCTGCATCTGTCTTGAAACGGACAGTGGCTGAACTGCCAGTTGTAGAGACTCTCAGTGGGTTCTCTGCTGATCTTGAAACACACAGCTGGGCTAGTCTAGGAGAGAGGAAATCAGGACCACCATAGACCTAGAAATGGAAGAAACACTGTCAAAGTTTTTCAAAGAGACTGTCTGCCACATAGAATACATGACAGCTGTTTAGCTAGGATTAAAAATAGTCTGTAAGTATTGGAAGTGATTCCACATTTTGGAATGTAAAGTAGCTAATAAAGTTATTTTTTTTCTGCAGGTTTACTTGGTATCTGAACCACTGGGCACATGTATGAAATTCTAGATGATTTGAAAAAAGCCTTGCATTAAATAAGAATTTTCTGCCTTGGGGACTTTGCCACATTCTTCTTCCTCATCTCTCCAGGGTTAGCACCTTGTTTCTGCGAGGATATAGAAACAGATTTTTTTGTGTGCTTGAGCAAACAAACTGTATCTCTTTGCAGGAACTCATGCTGATATTTTGCACCTTTTATGTCTAAAGGCAGAGATAAGACTGTTTTTTTTAATTGGGGCTAGATTTCATCACTCTTTCTGATAAAACAGAAAACATTGCAATTTTATTGTCTTCAATGGCAGAATCAACATCCAAAATATGTGATTTTGGTCAAGGAAACTACATTTTAATAATACTCCTTGGAAACAAGGACATATATCTGAAATATTTGCCACAGAAGACAGGTTTTGACTTTTAAGAGTATTTCCTACTCCTAAGGGTGTGCCTCAGACAGTTATAAACCAGAAAACCACCACTCTTTTAAACATCATCAGCAGTATTGTGTACTTCATAATTAGTTTTTAGAATCATAGAATAGTTTGGGTTGGAAGGGACCTTTAAAGGTCATCTAGTCCAACCCCCCTGCAGGAGCAGGGACATCTTCAACTAGATCAGGTTGCTCTAAACTAATTGAAGTGAACTAGGTGGCAGTGCTGAACCCTTATTAATCCTGTGTTTTCCAAAAGGCATGTGGGATTTTAGTTTGAGCCCACTTATAACTGGTGGAACTGGCTCAGCTTCCTTAGTCTTCCCTCTCAAAGCTGAAGAAAACACACATGCTCAGTGCAATTTTCAAATCCAGATGTGATTTTGGTGCCTTATGCCCTCAATGACTGAATTTTCTTGGCTTCTTGCATGCTAATGAAATGCCACCTGATATTAAGGCTCTCCTGCCTTCCATTGGTATGTCCCTGGTAGGACAGCAGCTGCAAAAGTCAGCTTGACTGTAACCTCAAATGTGAAAACTGTTACAAGAGATATACCAAATAAAGAGTGTGCTATTGTCTTTCAGCAACTGAACTAGCAATAGATAGATTCTGATTGTATCAGCATATTACATATAAATCCTAAAGCTAAACTAGAGAATTATGAGTTCTAACAACAAAACTAGGGAAAAGGAAGATAAGGCAACAAATCCCATTGGGATTTTCCCACCAGTAGCATCTCAAGTCTGCTCCAATATTTTATTAGTCTAGTAAACATCAAAAAGGTCGAAAAAATCAGTCCATGAATCTCTCTCAGAAAGTGGCAGTACTAAAAGAACCGTCCTTCTATATGTCCCTTTTGCCTTTGATCCCTTCTAGATGAGGGGAAACTCAATATTTTAATAAGCTCTGTGAGATATATTTTAACCTCAGAAGTTTGTGTTCTGTCTAAGCTAAATAGCTGAGCAGGTCTTACAAATAGCTGAGCTAGTTCCACCGCCTCCAGGGTTAACTCTAGTGCATTGCTACCTAATTTGATTGATCGTGTGCTCACTAACTGCTCATGGTGCCTGACACTGCTCTGCCATTAGAGGTATAAAGGAAAGAATATTTTTTGAAAATGGAAAAAATATTCAGTGATTACAGGATAATGTGAGACCTCAGAAGCTGAAGCTTGTATCCCCAGAAGAAACAAAGAATTAATTTTTTTATAAACATCATAGTCTGTTACATGTTCAGAGGACTATAATTTGTTTTAGTAGCTGATATCACAGGCTTAACAGCTTGAACATTTTAATCTTGACGGAGACAGCACTTTTTTGCATTCTGCAGGGAGGCTGCATGACTTGAATGGATAATGGTTCCACTGTATAATCGATCATCCCGAGGCATTCAAGAGAAGTCAGAATGGATGAAATCACAGCTCAGATTAAGAATCTGTAATGAAGCAGTCACAGTCTGGGGAGGAAGCATGTTTGTCTGCTTACTGCTTGGCTGCTTGTGAGGCCAAATGACAGCTGCATTTGTCAGAAGTCTGTTCAAAATGTGAATTTCAAAATGTGGTTGTGGTATACTCCCTGAATCAGAGCCACAGCATGAGATCGAGCAGGAACATATGTTCTTAATCATCTAAACCAGCCTAGAGAAGCTATGTGGCAGCGGAAACAGCAGGAGTTTCTAATATGCATCTAATAAGCACCACGGACCAGCCTCTCACAGCATCCCTGGGGCTCCCTAGGGCCATCTGCACACCACAGGCAAGGGGACCAAACCCAGCTCTGACATAAACCCTGCTGATTTCTGTAGTATTACCTCAGAAATTAACTTGGCCCAAGCTAAACACTTATAGTTGACCTGTTGGAAGAGAATTAAGGATGGGGAAGAAATATTGATGGAAATCTGAGGCTTGTGGATCTCCTTTTTATTGTTAACTGTTCAGCAACAGCCTTCTGCACTTCAAAATAAAAAGCACAGTCAAAGGCATGATTTTTACAGTCAGGAGTGTATTTTCTTTTCTCCTTTATGCCAGTTCAATTAATCAGATGCTTTCACAAGGGCTGGAATGAAAACAAGTTAGAGTGTTTCCATGACAAAAAACAATGAAATGTTACTTTTGGCTACAAAGAGGAAAACCAATAGTCACCACATGAAAAAAAAAGAAGAGGGAAAAGAGAATGGATGGAAAGAATTAATTCCAGGGTGTGGTTCACAAAGAGTCACAGGCTGTCTGAACTGTGAACAGATAAAAATAAAAATAAAAACATTTAGTTTGACCAGAGCACCTGATCCAGAGATAAAATGACATTGGATGGCATAGCGGGGATGCAGGACATTGCCATAAACCCCATGGTTTTAGTCTGTTCTTATAATTTGCTTCTGCCCTGTTAGCTCCATTTATTGTTAACAGTCAGCATTCCAGAGTTATGAGCAACAGAAAGCTGTTTTCATGTGGCTGGTCACCCTCATGACACAGATTTTCTGGGAATAAAACTGATCCCTGTTCAGTTATATCCCTGATATAAATGCCAGCAAAGAGAGAGGCTGGCTTTGACAGAGAATTAAGAATTACGGTAATACTTGGTGTTTCTTTGTATTTAAATGAAAAGATCAGAGCATCTAATAAAGACTTGGAAATGCAATAGGTTGACAGGGTTCCTTCCTTTTCAGCTCAGAGCTACATCTTGCTGTGGCAGAATATATTAATAGCTTATAAAAATCTGGTCCATGTTAAGAAGCAGGTGTCATAATTTAGCAAAGCAGACATGGCCATTTTTTTCTATGTATGTATTTTAAATAGAAGCAACTTAAAAAAATATTTTAACTCTTTCATTGTGTCCAAAAGGATGGCTTTTATTTCCATTAAACATTTCTAGAAAACCTCTTAAATTTTTCTTCTGGATGTTTGTAAAAGGAATGGAATCTGATGGGGAAGAGAGAAAGACAGAGTGCAACAGTGTCATAAAAGAAACAAGGAGGAGGATTAAAGGAGAATGTGTCAAACACTTGAGCATGCAGAAGCCACAGGGAGAACTTGAGGATTTCACACACAAAATTTTTACATAACTATTATTGCACAGTCTTGGTGAAACGTATGGTGGTACTCGGATACTGACATGGAAGCGACAGCTTGTTTAGGAGGCGTTCTCAAAGGAAAGGTAAGAGAGACAGTTGCTGCATTTTACAAGAACAAATATGCTTTAGAAAAATGTACAAGAGAGAAATATTTAAGAAACTGCAGCATATAAATGAAGTTAGCAGCAAAGGTACTTCAATGGGAAAGATCTCTTTGGATTTTCTTACAATTCTCTGCCAGGTCGAATGGTCAAAGGCATTTATAAGCAAAAGTTAAATGCATCCAGGTGAGCAAGCTTTGTGATTACTGGGGAATTTTTATTACAACACAGCTTCTTATGTCAGAGAGTAGTTATAGGATAGGGAGGGATAGCAGGGTGCAGAGCTGCTGCAGGACTGATTTTGACTTCCTGTTAAAACTGGAAAGTTATCTGGCTTGAAAGAAAACAGGAAGCCGTAGAACTCGCTATTCAGAGATAAGGAAAAAGTGAAATCAGGAGTATAACTATGAGAAAAAACAGACTTCAAAACATGACAAAATGGTAGACAGGATACTCTTGGGAAGACAATGTGAGAGTGAAAGAAGTTTGGAATCTTAGTAATCACTGAAACACACTGTGTCAAAGGCACACCAGGAACCTCTTTTTTTCTAACATTTTTCAAACCTTTGTGTGGTTTTCAGCCTGGACATATGTAGACAACTACAGGAAAGAAGATTACAAGATAGAGCAGCTCCCAAAAATAGCTAACCATGTTGGTTATTTTTCCCCACGAAATCTCAGTCATCATTTGTTCTGTGCAGACTATACCAATCATGCCGTGAATGTGTAATTTCATAACAAAAGCAAGAAAATGTGTGTGTGGCAAGGTACATAAAGCTTCACCAAATGCCTGCAGTTTGGCAGGGAAAGCTGTTCGCTGCCAGGCAGAACCTTTGATCTTACATTAAGATATGAATCAATTTTCCCCAATAAGTTGATTTATGTTAGGTTATCTGCCAGCAGATCAGAGACAGGTGTTGGGAACTGGATAAGCTGAGGTGAGGAGACAAGTAACTCAGAGGCATGCCAGTTCTGAGGGCAGGAAGGCAGAGAAATTCAAACAGCAAGGTGGACATCCATGCTGATGAATAAGGTTGGAAAGAAGTATAGCATAGGAACTAAGTTTGAAATGGTAAAGAAAGAAACCCCAAAACCTAAGGTGCATACCTTGCTCAGGGACACAGGGCAGCAAACTGTAGGATCCTCTTAAACAACTTATTTAAGCAATTTGTGTGCAGCAACCCACTCATTGGTTTTAGGCTACCCCCCCCGCCACTAGCCAAAAAGTTGTCACACAAATGGTTGCCAGCCATCTGTACTCTTATGGGATCATGATGGTTCCTGGGTGACCACCTGCAGATGTAGGCATTGTCCTTGCACTATTTGAGAAATGGTCAACCACAGCAGACTTACATTTTGTAGCTGTTTAATGGCTTCCTCCGGGCAACAGAGGCATAACTGAAGCTTACAGGCAGATTAGCTTCAATCTAGACATTTTAGGCACAAACAACAATGAAGCTGCAATACAACAGACTTCATCAATACCCAAACCAGCCAACACAGGTCACCTACTCACAGGCATTGGTGTCAGCAATATGACACACAGTCATACTTACCAATGCAGTCGAGTGCACCCTCAGCAAGTTTGCTGATGACACCCAGCTGTGTGGTGCAGTCAACGTGCTAGAGGGAAGGGATTCCATCCAGAGGGACCTGGACAGGCTTGAGAGGTTGGCCCATGCAAACCTCACGAAGTTCAACAAAGCCAAGTGCAAAGTCCTGCACATGGGCCGAGGCAATCCCAAGCACAAATACAGGCTGGGTGAAGAATGGATAGAGAGCGGCCCTGAGGAGAAGGAGTTGGGGGTGTTGGCAGATGAAAAACTGAACATGAGCCAGCAGTGCACGCTTCCAGCCCAGAAGGCCAATCAGATCCTGGGCTGCATCAAGAGAAGCGTGGCCATCAGGTCAAGGGAGGTGATTCTGCCCCTCTGCTCTGCTCTCTTGAGACCCCACCTGGAGTACTGCGTCCAGTTCTGGCCCCCTCAATGCAGTAAGGACATCGAGCTCTTGGACGCAGGTCCAGAGGAGGGTCACGAAGATGATCAGAGTGCTGGAACATCTCCCCTGTGAGGACAGGCTGAGAGAGTTGGGGTTATTCAGCCTGGAGAAGTGAAGGCTCCAGTACCTGAAGGGGGTCTACAGTAAAGTTGGAGAGGGACTTTTTACAAGGGCATGTATTGACAGGATGAAGGGTAATGGATTTAAACTGGAAGAGGGCAGTTTTAGTCTAGATATTAGGAAGAAATTCTTTACTGTGAGGGTGGTGAGACACTGGAACAGGTTGCCCAGGGAAGCTTTGGATGCCCCATCCCTGGAGGTGTTCAAGGCCAGGCTGGATGAGGCTTTGAGCAAACTGCTCTAGTGGAAGATGTCCCTGCCCATGGAAGGGGGGTTGGAACTAGATGATCTCTAAGGTCCTTTCCAACCCAAACCATTCTATGATTCTATTATTCTATCTGGCAACTGTATATTTAGGACTTGCTTTGGCATGTGGGTTAAGTCTTCCAGGAATATTGCTGATGAGTGAGAACAGGCAGCAGTGAGTATCTGTAGGTGCAGACAGAAAGCTGTCTAGCTGTATGCCAGTCACACATCACATTACCCAGGAGAAGAGGAGAAGAAAGGCCCCAGCAGGGTGGTACAAGATCTCTTAACCCATCCCTTGGGTTCATTACAAAAACATTCAAATGTCATCCAGGTATTAACATCAAAAGACTCAACAACTGTACCTCTCTTAGTGATCTCAAGTGTTTCTAGTGAGAGCGATCTAGAAAGTCTATACTTGTAAAGAATTTCTTCCTGAAATTATTTCCTATCTCTTCTTCCTGCACTGGAAGTCTATTCAAATCTGTTAGCTGGAATTTGTCACCTGGCTGCTTCCTGAACACAAAGATGTCATATATAACAGGACCATCCAGTCTTATGGGCCTCTTAAAGGTCAGCAAACTCTTAGCTCCCTTTTCTCCATGTTCCACCACCCTAAGCTGACTAGGACACTGCCTCTTCTTTTACTCTTTTTTTTTTTTTTTGAGTACAAAGCTTGTTCATAGTTTTCAGTGCTCAGGGTTATAAACCTCCCCACTTCCTTGGAAGGTCCTGCACAAGGTCTTACCTTAGTTATCACGCCAGTGATCCATTATCTTCCTTTACATCAGCAAATTTTATCTCCGTGGTACAGCACCCCACACTTAGTTCTTTGTGAAAGGTAGGCTTTTTAAGACTGAGCTTTTTAAAAGCAGTTTTGTCTCTTGTTAGGAAGTATACTGTGCCTAGTGTAATTATTGATTAATAAGAGCATTTTGGCTTCTGTGACAACATCTATGGAACCTAACTAACCACAGCAGAAATGGGAAATTGCCATAGAATTGTTTGTGCTGCTCCTGCAGTTCTTGGGATTATCTGGCCCAGACAGAAAAGCATGTAACTTTTGTATTTTTGAGGAGTAAATATAATGCTCTTACCTCCAAAACATCGTAGTTGCAGTCTGGGTGATATTCAATGTCGAATTCCTGAATGGTGAGTTGAATGCTGCTATCAGGTGCTGTGTGAATGTACCAGATGCATTCCCTATTGCTTGGGTATCTGTTGGGGTAGCCAGGGCTGTGGAATGAACCAGAAGAGCCAGAGAGTTCTCCTCCACAACCTGGCAACACAGCAAAGCAGACCATCAGTGAGGGGCTCTGGAAAAACTCACCAACAAGCTCCGCAACGAGGACAGGCATTAGCACCCATTTCATGCACAAATGTTGGGCTTGAGGGTCTGCTCTAGCACAAGGAACGGAGGTCTGGCAGGGAAGAGAAACTCAGGAACTGCACACTGGGACTGCTGGCATTGCCTGTGCATTAACCACTTCATGGCATGTTTCTCACTGTACCTGCTTTGATACCTGAAGAAACTGAGACAGAGTAAAAAAAGTTACTGTTTTTGTATTGGCCTCTAACTTTGACCAGTTCTAGAAAGCTGAATCAGATCCATCCTCAGCTGTTACCGACCTCAACTAATACACAGACTAAGTTATCATGGGGAGGGCTTCCTATTGTTGTAAAAATGCCACTTCCTACTGCTTTAGAAATCATAAAATCAAAGACAATGCAATTTCCCCCAGCCCACTGAACATGATTACAAGCTGCCAAGTCACAGTGGATAAACTAGCTTTCTGACATTGGTAGGTTTAATGTTCTTTTTTATTGAACTGTAACTACGCAATTGTAAGGCATGCCATGTCTGAAAAGTTTTGTATTTTCCTTTCAGATAAGAAATTACTGTCACAACCTCACTCCCCAGCCCCTTGGGTGATTAAGTTCTTGCATATTATGAGCTAGATTTTAAAAAAAAAGTAAAATGATAGATTAAATGCAGGTCCTGATTTGACAGCACAGAGGAGATGAACACCTGAGACTGCAGTTTTATCATTGATTTATTGAGATGTGGCAACTGTGGCATTCACCTCCTTTTGTCGAGTTCCCAGGAAGACACTCTCCCTGACCCAGTCCCTGGGTGCAGGTGTCAGCAGGGTGGGAAGGCACAACAGCTCTTCCCAGTGTCAGGGCAGATTTAGATCACCTACATTCATGGTGCAACCTTACCTATGGAGAAGCCAGTAGGGTGGCTGTGTATCTGTCACACGCAGAAAGCAAAGGAATTGTGTGTTCGATCTGATTTTAAGTGTGTGTCGCTCTGTCTTGCAGTGGTATTTTTTTTACCTCCCTATGTGACAAGCTCCCAAGTGCTTCATTTAGGCACTTGCTAATCTTTTTCTAACACAGCTTTTATGGGGTCACTCGAGCTTTCTAAGTAAAGCCCACACTCCATCAATCTTCTTGGCTTCATCTCCAGAAGTAAGGTTCTGTCACATAGCAAACAAAGCGCCAAAATACTTAATAAAACCATCTGACAAACCACAAATTCTATATTCCCAGAGGCAAATACTGCAGTATGTCAGGAGTGATAAATAGTATCTGTATCAGAACCTTCAGTTATAGGAGATATTTTATAACATAAAACAAATAAACTATTCTTCTGACCTCCTCAACTAATTTTACACATCTTTACACAGGTGTGTAAAACTCCTCTAATCGCTATTAAGTCTATGCATAATTTGCAACTTGAACAAGGTATCTTTGGCCATTGCTCTGCTTAACAGTTGTTTTTTTTTCTTCAGGAAGCTATAAATCAAGATCTTCAACTAAATGCAAATACTTTCCTCAACACCTTCTGTGACAAACTTGTGGTTATTGAAGGATGGCTGCTACACCATCATCTCTACCACGGGGTCTTTCAGCTCCTCACTGAAAACTCAAGTTTGGCTTTGCCACAGCTGGCTCTAGGACTTCTAGGACTGCAAAATACACATCTATGAGAGGAACGAGCAGCAGGTCTGAAAGGGAGCAAACCAATAAAAAGCTATTTTAAACTAAAAAACAACCATCTAAATGCAGATGTGAGGAAGACTCCAGGCATGCCAGCAACATAACGCAAATCTCTGCTAGTCCATCACCCAATACTCACCAGAAAACCACCTTTTAAACACAAGAATTCCCACAATTGAACAATAGTTTGCTATAACCTAAGAAAGCTTTTACATAGCTGAGGCTGACTTCACAGGTGAATTGGCACAGGCTTAGTTCTCATTTTTCTCCCCACCTTGCTGCACTCGATGCTCCATAACCCTGAGGTGGTTTGCCCTGCAGCCACAAAGCTACACTGTCACGCTACCGGAGGTCTCAATCAAGGAGCAAAAGAAGCTTTAAAGTGTATTTGAAATCAATCCTGCCTTCAGTCCCTCTGGAGAGAGAAACAGAAAAAGGTAGTGCGCTTACTTCCCCAAGGCCTGCTAGCTAGCACCCGTGGGTAAACATTAAGTCCCTGAAACTTTGATATCCATGAACATTTCAGCAGAGAGGAAGAAAGCTTCAATGTAACCCACCACCCCATTTTTCTCCCAGTGCCATAAGAAGATGGCCTCATTTTCTGGAAAAGAAAGCAGCAGGTCGTTGGAGTTTTACAACTAGAGAAAGAAAAAAACAAAAAAAAAGGTGTCAGCAGCGGGGAAGCCTTACAGCTGCATTCGCAGGGTGAGTTACTCTCTTTCCC